AGTGATTGGTTGTCAACAAAGGCAAGGAGACGGAGATTTCGGAAATTGACTTTATTGATTGGCTTCAAACTGTGAGGTAAAGATGCACATACTGATACGTGATTGGTGCATAGTATATATATATTAAAAAAAAGAAAGTTGGAAATGGATCATTAGTGACTGGCTGTCAACGGAGGCAAGGAAACGGAGATGATGGGATTAGGCTTTATTGATTGGCTGTGAACATAGATGGAAAGATGCCAATAGTGATCCGTGATTGGATGGAAATTGACAGTCTCTCGTTCTCAGGGCTCTGAAAGAAACTTATTTACACTTATACAACAACAAAGCAACATTCACACATAAAACGTGTTTTTCTAGTAGAGTAATATTTAATATATCAATATTCCTCAACATTTAAAACACCCTTTCAACTAAAAGCTAGTTTACCTGTTAAAAAGTAACGCTTGATTACCTTATGTTACTTTTAATAAATAAGGTAGAATGATTCGTGTATAAGGACAAGGGAGCAATGTAACCTTGAAAGCGCAAATGGAAAAATGTATTTGTTGGCATTGACTGGTGTCCTTGCTAGCGTTTAGCGGCGTAAATTGTACATAACTGAAGATGAATAGGTTAGAATAGACGTGTGAATCGTGATTACGTTGTTCCCCCCCCGCGCCCCCTGCAACTGTAATGGATTACAGTTGCCTTTTTGGTGCCTACAAAGGTAATATTGTAACTAATTATTACTGATATTTATCAGTACTTAGTTACACTTCTAGCTAAAGAAATATTATTACTGTAATATTATTACTCGTAATGAGTTACTACCCAACACTGGTCACAATACATACGGATATAGTCGCTGTTATTAAACCATTGGGTTTCTCTTTGGTCTGCACAATTAATAGACATGTAATCAAACTCGCAATAGAAGCTGTGATTTTAGGATAAAGGTAAAAAAAAAACTGGACAAAACAACATTATAATATAGTATATATAAGTACTGTAGTTCTGAATACATGCCGGGGTCCAATATATCCTGTTATACAAGTTTAAGAACACATGTTTGTTTGGTACAGACCCCCCCAAAAAATCACATGACCACGATTTTCATAATTCCCACACTAATTGTGAATCAGTGTGGGAGCAATTAGGGGTCATAAAAATAGATGTTATTGTTGTTGAAATTAGAATATATTCTATAATTTAGTCTTCGGCCCTCCTCCGTAACTTACAATGCATGGTGACACAGTTGAGAGCATCAGAGACTTCAGGTTGAAATCCCTGTTAGGACAACAGCTTTATTGTTAGGAGCAATCTGTGAGTGAAATGCTAACCACAACATGCTAATGTGTTTACACCGATAATGCTGATGTTTTGCAGATATAATGGTTACCATGTTAGTATGCCAACACATTAGCTAATGAGCAGTAAGCTTAAAGAACTGCTGATGTTATTGGGTGTGTTGGGATGTGTTTAGATTTGCAGGTTTGGTGATAAAAAGTTAGAAGATAATTTCTGATACAGTATTTCACTCAGAATGTGTGTTTCTTAAGGAGATTAAACTACTTTGCACTATAATAAACTAGCCTGTGTGAGCAGCTCCTGTAAAACAATAAATAATATATCATTATATATTGTCCTAACCCTCTTACTTTATAATACAGTGTCTGACTCTCTCACCTCAGTTTGATTGAGTGTAGTAAAATGCACATTACAATGCGTTTTGGAAAAATAATGATGATTCCATTTTTATTATTTTATTATAAGAACATATACCATTTTGTATATATATATTAGGACTCTTAATATATAATTTGATTGTTTTACAATACACATTTAGAAGAACTGGCTACAAAATAAAAATATCAGCTTTACAAACAAAGCAGCATCTGAATGAGAAAATGAATGAATAAATAAATAAATACATACTTTGGCAAATAAATGTCACAATAAATTAATATAAGTTTTTTTTTTTTTAAACGACAGCTGTTAGCATTCACAAAGAAACACCAATATTAAAAGCAATTCATCTTACCACATTCATGAAGCAACACTTGAAGACCAACTCATTGAAGTTTTAGACAATGAATGACAGCCGGTCGGTAACTGAGACCAACATTAGTACGAATTTTAGGGGTTAAAATATATATTGTTTGTACTCACAAGCCCCAAATCTACCAAAACAGCTTCCCTCAAAACATCAGATCATTTAATTTATAACTATTTTAATTGAAACTTTGTCATACTGTACCTTTCATTTTCATTTTAAGTCACTCTCACACTAAATAATCTGAATAACGTGGAACCACAAAACATTTAAATTCGGTCACTGTGACTAAATATTATCACCGTCACGAGTGATCTTCCATATTCAACCATGTATTAAAAGCTTAAATTAACATTTGATTCAACAAACTAGCGGCAGACAATACAAGACAAAAAAATAAATAAATCAAAATGTACAAAATGTACAGTGGTTCACTGGATAATGAAAAATAACTCAAGATCAAATCAGGCTTGTTGCTTTATATAAATCTCCGTCCAAACATCCATAAGTCACTTAAATATTAGGTTATGATTTTACAAGTGTTAACATAATATAATCCTCATAAGTTAAAACACATTTTTTTCTCTCAGTACAGTACATTTCACACGTAACAAATAAAGACAGTATATTTGGCAGACAAGGCAGTTAAAGGACATTAAAAACACTGTTGGATGCTAAAATCACTGACATGGTGCTAAAAGCTTAAATATTCTTGAGTCGTGTTGAAACGTAACAGAGTTTGGGGATACATTTTGGTGTTCTGAATCAGTCATCAATGAAAATTAATTATATTTTTGGGGTCTTTAAAGAAAATTAAAAGTCTGCTGACATTCTTTCCTTCATTAAGGGACAGGAATACAGAGGGGGGATAACTTGCTAATATATTTAAAGACTAGACTAGACTAGACTATCAAAATAATTATTATAATCTATTATCACAATGTATTCTTTCTCATAAATATAGTCTCTGGTTTGAATTCAGCTCTGCATTTTGGTTTTGACTAAAACCATCCTTATCTCAAAATATTAAGTGCACTCGGATTAGGACTGACACTTTAAAAGGATTTCTGACAAAAATATTTAGAAATGAAAGAAATAAGTTTTTTCCCCAGATACATTTTGTTTTTCATTTGAACGTACTGACAAATATGAAGCATAATATTCTCATACACCTGTTTACGACACAAACAACATTGTGGATACAGTCAATAAGGCTCATAGCAGCAAACTGTGATTGTAAAGGCTTTGTGTAGTGTGTGTGTGTGTGTGTGCGAGAGCGTGTGTGCTCGTATGTATTTTACTCTCGTGCTGCTACAGCCGTTCACACTTTACTTGGAAGGGAAAGAAGACACACACAGCACAATCACTTGTTCTCTATTAGCATCTGCACCTTGCACACCAGATCTCTGGCCTGGGTCAGAATCTGCTTTATGTTGTGGTGCTCGGCCATTTCTGAAAGACAAAGAAACGTGTGAAGTTTAAAGGGAAAGTACGCCAAAAATAACACTTCAAAACAACACAAATAGCTCAATATATTTCCCTAAATCATCTGAATAGTGTCAGTCAATCCAAAATAAGACAATGGATGCATGCTGTAACACTTCTTCACACACAAGGTTTATATTAAGCTGTTTGGCTTTATGAATCATACACTAAATATATACATTCAGTAACAATAGAGTCAAGTTCCAGTGGATTAAAATGACTCCAGCAATTTAGTATTAAGTGTCGCCCACACCAAGAACAGTAACTATAACAACAACTATAAATATATCTTTTTTTAAAGTCGTTCTAATTCAAGTGGATGGTGGAGTTCACACAACAACTTTAACGACAGTGACACTGGTGAACGATATTATTGTGGCAACTCTCAGAGCGATTTGATGAACAATATGAACTTATTAAAGTTTTATATAACGTAATATTAGGCTGCAAATCACATAATACTGCCAAATACTGATCTCTGTCTGTCGTCTGTCCTGTCGTTCCTGTCGTCTGTCTGTCTGTCTGTCCTCGTCTTTATGAACCCAGATACGAAACTGGTGCGACACGCAGTATTCTGACTTTTAGCCCCCAGTATGAGTCAAACTCTTATATTATTTCAATAATGAAACATGATGGTGTGTCTTTGTTAGACCCTTCATGCCTGGAAAATGCTCACATCTTTCAAACTCCCACTACAAATGAACATTTTGGTTATAAATTTGTCTCCACACCCAAGCTGAGACACCCCTAATGACTTTATTCTTGGTTATTTATGCAGATGCTCCTTCAGAGCCATAAACAACATTAGACAACTGTTTAGGCACGCCGAATAGTACGCCGCATGACGAGTAAACTGATCTTTAAACGTGTAAAATCAGTGGCGTGGCCCCTTTACGCCGGAGGCATGAGAACAAGCTGTATGTTTTACCATTGAAGAACTTAATGATGTCAGTAAAGTCCATGTTGTTTTCCAGGATGATGTCCCTGTAGATCTCCACCAGCGCCAGGGCAATGAAGAGGACAAAGTGACTAGAAGAGACATACTTGGCTGCCCAGATGGTTTCCCAGACTGCAAACACGTCATCATACACCAGCTCTGGAAGACAAAGCACATAAAGGATCGGGAGCTGAACCAAGTCAGTGTTTGAGGGCGAATTTGTAGGAAGTGGATTCATCAGTGGAGGGAGATAAAAATGGAAGCAGGTGTTTGCTGAGATGTGAGGATATACTGAGATACCCAGGTGAGAAAGTTAACGGAAAACAAAATAGTGCATAGTTGACTCTTCATCATGAGGCATATTAATTATAAAACCTATCCACACAGCAGCAGCTCAGGCCAATTATTTCATAAGCAACTCCCTTGAATTGTTTTCCAAAAATATAACTGACTGCTAAATCCTTTTTCCAGCCTTAATCACTACATCCCTCGTTAGCAAGCTGCCAAGTGGTTTGGCATTTTATCCACAAACACGGCTTAAAGAGGAGTGAATCTCCTACGTCTAATTGGCACAAATTATTTTACACCATGCTGTCACTTTACCTCGCTTGAAGTCTAGGAGAAACCAGCGATAGCAGAAGTAGAAGTGGGTGTAGTCTCCGTTCTGGTGCATTAACTCAAACAGCTCAGAATCCAGGATCTGTACAGAGGGGATCAGAGGAGATTCGGGTAAAGAAATAATGAGATTGGCTGTGGAGGAAAACTGTGAAAAAGTGGGGAGTTTGTGGGTAATGAATGGATTTGGTGGCTGCTACAGAGAAGACTTTACTGGTGCTGTGTCACCTGGATTAGAGAGCGCATGTTGGCAAAGTGAGTGTCCATCGCTCCTCCGTGTGGAAAGTTTTGATTCATTCTCTTCATGAGTTCAGTGAAACAGCTGAAAGCCATGGCCTCTGAAAGGAGGAAACAGAGAGAGGAAGCCGAAGTGAGAAAGTGAGTGGGCAAAACATTTTCTCTGTTGTTACATCAATAGCTGTAAAAAAAAAAAAAAAAAAATACACCAAATGTCAGAAAAGAGGGAAAATAAAAAGTGATTCAGAGTGTTGACTCACCATCATCCAGAATGACTAGAAGTGGAGCCAGCAGATCACACATGCCCTGTACGTAACCGATGTCAAGGTGCCTCCAGATATAACTGAAAATACACAACCGAGAGGAGTGAACTTAACTGAGCTCTTTTTAGCTACCAATAGAAGTCATACGCTTCTGTCCATATTTAGAGATATTTCCATCTATTTCTTCAATGCTGAAAATATGTTTTTCAAAATAATATTCACCATTTATCAAGGCAGCTACTTTTTAAGTGCAAAAATCTATTAGAATAATTTACATTTACATGATTAGGCTTCGCTACAGTGTAACTATAATATTTTTATTTGTCCTTGGAGGTCCCCCAGGAGCCCCATTACAGGTGTAGCTCTGCCTTTGTGAAGGTGAACTAGGAAGAAAAATGCCTAATTTCCATCAATTAAAAATCAAAAGCAACTTGTTCTAATGAGAATAAAATCACTAGTAGTTTGGTGATGTGTGGCTCCACATTTTGCATGGCGGACTCGTTAACTGCTGTGGGAAACTACAATGAAGTCCGATTTATGAAAGGTAGTGATTGGACAAAATTGGGACTGGCAAGCTCAGCTTATGTTTATTGTGTCGTCAAAATTTTGTGCATGCCACTTTAAAATGACTTACCTTTGTGTAGATTGTCTACTCGGACTGTCGTCTTCTGAGGTCACCTGCTGGACTTTCATGGGGCGGCCTACAAAATAAAAGTTTTAACAAGTGAGAAAGCACTTCTTAAGAAACCAAAGTACCACAATGCCATTAAAGCATGAGGACAGAATACTCACCATCAAGTGGGACACCATTATAGTGCTTCATGGCTTTGAGTGCATCGGCCTTGTTTTCAAAGTGAACGTCTGCGGTTCCTTTACTACGACCAGAGCGGTCGTAGTGCACAGATGCTTTCTTTAATTCCCCAAACTCTGCAAATAATTCCTGGAGGGGGAAAAAAAATATAGAATTGTCACTCACGTTCACAACACGTTGATGCCAGCAGCTAAGTGGATTAATTGGGTTGAGTAAATCACCTTGACATCCGAGTCAGAGACGCCAAAGTCCAGATTGGAAACCAGTAGTTTGCCATTGCTTTCTACACTTCTTTCAGCTCCCGCCCTCTGTCCTCCTCTGTGCCCACCAGCATGCTCCTCAAACAT